TTTTTTTAATTTAACCAGATTATGAGGTTTTGAAAATCACCTGCTGCAATTGTGTGGTACATTTTTCATGTCGGTTTTTAATAAAATTGTAATGTACTCAATTAATGAGAAACACATTCGTAATACATGTGAAGACTTTATTCTTTCTTAACGCTTTCCCACGCTCTACCCTAAGAGAGGGGAAGTGAGGAAGGTATAGGATATAGGTCCATGGAGAGGTAAAACTTTGAATTTTTCGTCTCTTTCTTGAAGCAGTACATAGCTGCCTTATTTTTTTGTCTAAGGATTGTACTGAAAAGTCAGACCTTTTGTGTTTAAATTGTCATTTAATGGTTTAGAAAGCCCAAAAGTAAGGTCAGTCTGATTATGGTCCTAAGCCCATTTTAACACAGTTACTGTCTTTAAAACATTTAAAAGTGCTTTTCATGTCAAAATCGTCAAATGTAACTGACATACAAGGTAAAATTCTGCTTGTGAAAGTCAGTAAAGTTCACCCAAAGCATTTCACTTAGGTGCCTCTTAATGGATGAAAACATGAAAAGAGACAAAGGTTTTAATCTGTCTCTTTTTGACTTCATATTTTCCTGTTTTTGTGAGTGTATCCAGGGTAGTTAATGTTTTTTTAAATTATACCTATCAGTTGGAGATGTGCTTGACTGAAATGACCCAAATCTTATATAAGTAATTCTGAAAATTATCCTGCACTTTGAAAATAAGGCCTGAACTATAATTATTTATTGGAGGGATATTGCAAGAACTGTTCTGTGTTAGAATAAGGCAGATCCTTAACATAGCTTTAGTGTAAATGCTGAACACTGTGTCTTTTAAGGTGCTCATCTAGGTATGCCTATTAAAATGTATGAAGGAGATAAATGCTTAACAGAAGACAGACAAGTTAAGTACACTTTTTGCAGTAATCAAGCATTTGCTTTCAGCAAGTCCTTTACCTAGGAGGAGTCTACTTTGGCATTATAGTGAATGTGTTATTTAGGTCCCTCTACAGTTCTAAGGATACCTCTGACTTGCCAAAGACTCCAAAGGGATCAGTTGATATGCTGCGTCTATAAAAACAATTTAAGTAGCTCTAAGTAAGTCTTTGTGCCAATTATGTTAATGAAGCTGCAAAGGGACTGCAAATTTATAAGTCCTCTAAAGTCCAGTGCTGGCCCAGCAGTTCAGAAGCTTCTTAACAAGACATTTAAGCAAGACTCTTTAATCTCTCTAATTGGTGCTTTGGAGTGTAGAATACATAAACCCTGCTGTGTTCTAAAAGCAGTAGACATCTTCACTAGCCAGTGAAGATGTCTACTTTCACTACTACCTAGTGAAAATACAATTTCAGACTGCATCTCTCCTGTACTAAATGATGATGCAGAGATGTTTTGTTTCGCTGCTATTTGTCAGTGCAGTTTTGCTGTTGAATGGTGCTTGACTGCAGCTGTGCTGGAAATGAATCAGCTCTGTCCTCCATGGCTGTAACGTTCCATTTGTGGGCACTGCTGAATATCCTGTTTGGGAGCTAAGAGGAGAAACCAAGGAGTAGTCAGAGGAAGTTATCCTGCTGAGAGAACGGGAGCTCTGGTGCCATGATTTCTCTCAGGAGCCCTCAAGCATCTCACACAGTAGGACTTTTACAAACTGATGACAGGTTATTTAAACTCAGGAATTAAAACTTGGAAAGGCTAGGGATAAACTTAAAAATATTTAAAACTTTGAATAACAACTTTGTCTCACAAAACTATAGCTTTTGTGGATGCTAAGATTTTTAAAAACATTTCATTTAAAGAAAGTCTGTAAGGTTGCTACTTTCTATCTAAAGCTTTTATCCCAACCTCACTTTCAGCTCCTATATGCATTCTCTTCCAGAGTAAGACTTCTGTAATAGTAATGTGTGTGTATATATATGTATACATTAGGGTGACTCGTGCATCTCCTATCTCTTTTGCCTTCATGGAAAAAGGGAGTAGGACAAACACACATCTTGGTGGGTTCCAGCCTTATCTTGTCTCTGATTACTCCTGCTGCAAGCTTTTGGCTGAAGTTCTGACGAACTCTTCTCCTTTTATTTTTTCCTCCTTCTCTCCAGATGATTTACATTTGTTACATTTTTTTTTATTACCTGTAGCTATCAGTTTTCTAGAAGAGGTTTCCAGGGTGTCATCCTCCTGATTTGTGTAAGAACTCCAAGACAGTATAATGGGACACCTGGCTTGTGTTTCAAATGAATGATTAGGCAATGTAATTTAATTTTTTCCTTACCATTCATCCTTGCTACTTGGGGAAGAAAAAAGGCCACCCACTGATAAAAGAGAGTGCAAAGCAAATGAATCCACTAGAAGAAGGCTCTGCACTTCTCTGTCTGTCCTGTGCTAAGCAGAATTCAGACCATGGAATATCCAAGGAGATTTGCCCCATACAGGACATCATTTATGTAAGTTGACTTTACATATTATTTCCTCTGGAAAGAAATTTTTCCCTGTAGTCCTGCTTTTTTCTACTGTTTCATCAAAGCCTTTATTTCATCTCTAGCTGGCCAAAGGGAACATTCTTTTTCTGTAACTCATTTTTGGTGGTGGTTTTGTTTAGGGGAATCAGAAAAGTTTGTATTTTGTAAGGATATTTTCAGAGGCATTAATTTCTTGGTGTAAATGAGTGGGCTTTTTATCATAACCGGTATCTGTCATTCCTCTAAATTGTAGGATATAAGTTTAAATTAATCAGAACATGCAGGAGAATGAAAATTGGCACAGGACTGTACTTCAGGTACAAATGTTGCAACCATATTAGCTTTGTGCTTGTATGATTAACTTGTATATTATCACACCAATGTACATACACATAAACAGACATCCACCATTTCACTTTCAAGATCAAAACCGGTCTTATACCCAAGAAGAAATTTTGGGGAATAGGGGAGATTTAAAAGTTTAGCCAGTGTAGAGCTCTAAACATTTAGACAATTGGTTTTCATCAGGCTTGCATTTTCTGAGATTTTTTTGGTTGTTGTTGTCTTGGAAGGAATTTTGTTGATGTTATTTTTAGTTGTGTTATCTACACAAAAAGGCAAATAAAGTCATTGATATCTATTTAATAATTTCTTGGGGTTTTAAAAGTAATTTATCATGGTTAAAACCATGGAATGAGAGAGGGATCTTGCCAAAATAATTCTAAATGTTCACAGTGGCCTGTAGGCTAATGTTTTTTGACAAAGTGATCAAATACAGTTGTATCTGAGTGCCTTGAACGAAGGCTAAGTACCCGTCTGAGCACATTTGTTTTAAGGGGTCTTTTCTATTTCTGCATTTCATGAGAATATTTGGAAGGAATGAAGCATGACGCATGAAGAGGAGGATTCACTCTCTTCAAGACTCTTGTGCAAGAAGTACTATGTAAAGCTTATATTGTGTGTGTGTAGTTTATAGTTGTTTCTTTGTAGGTACAGAAGAAGAGTGGATATCCACTTCCCCACAATCCCATTGCTTTGGGCAATGAGTTTTAGTGCAGCAGATATTTTGTTCTAGAGCTCTACACAATTATTTCTTAAATGTTTTCATTAACATCAACCTGTCTTTCCTGTAAAATACTCTGAACACACGTCTCTGTCAGATACTTCAGAAATTATTTTGAAAACTGTATTTTAATTATCCTGCCCTTTCCCTCTGACAAAACTTTAGTTTAATTATCACATGAAGAATTTCACTAACTGTTTAAGGAGAATCATATGTATAAATTCATATAAAAAACCGTCATAAAATACTTTTTTTGTAAAGTGCTTTTTTATTATGCATTGTCAACAGTTAAATGATACTTTGCTGTTTCATGCAAGCTGGAATAGTGTTAAGAGAGCACATGTTAATTCATAAACATGTAAAGGGAAAAAAGTACTAAATCTGCGTAAGTTTGTACAGGTTTAAATATGAAACTGGAGAGCTGCTTCAGTTAAAATGACTATGAAATAGTTATCAAAACAACCACTAGTCTTAATTGCCCAGTGTTCCCAAACTTTGTTCCAGTTCTGCCTTGGATATTTGGGTTTATCCTGTGTCAAAAGTTACACACTTCTTTTTGTTGTCTTTTTTTTTTTTTTCCTTCCCTGTCATACAATATAATGCCATAGTAGCAGCTCTAGGAATAGAGCATAACAGTACTATTCACCAATCAGTTGTAGTTACTTTTCAAGAGTGAGTCCATTTTAAACTAAGTACTGCATGTCACTGAAAAAAAAATCAAACAAAAACCAAAGCAAGCAACTCCCCAAAAACCTAACTAAACCCCAAATCTTGTAGTATGAGCTAATGTACATAATACATCATGAAGCAACAGCTCAGTTACAATAATAACAATACATAAGAAAACAACTATGGAAATGTTTTTTTCTTGGTTTGTGCACACGACTAGGTGATTCACATCTCAATTTCTTACAAATGATGAACAATAAAATTGAATTATTATGCTTCTGCAGGACAGTCATGTAGTAAAATATTTCTTGTGCTGTTCAAAATATGTCTTGTTATGAGAGAGAAGTTGTTTTAATTACAGACTGAAAAAAATCTGTTTTGTACATCTTCATTGCCTTAAATATAAACTGAGCAAGTAAAGTCTGAGTAATTGACAGTATATAATACAAATTTTCATACGGACATTAGATTTCTCAAGAAGGACTAAAATAACTGGAGAAATACCTATTTATGACTTACTTTATAATGAGTGACAGATGTAGCTGAGCACTTAGCTGTTTTGTTCATTTTCATCATAGAATCTATTTCTTTTCATTTGTTCTTCTACAGTGAGCTGTTTGAACTTGAATTTCTCGCCTTGGAATGATGGAACAGCTGTGTATCTTGAGCTCAGTAAATCTACGCTTGTATTTATGTCATTCTTTGACAATTTGATTATTTCACTTTCTTGACAGGCATTAATATCATGCAGTTCTGTAGCATAATTCCCATGTTCTTTTGAATATGGGCTGCAGGAACTTTAGTTATATCTACAGAGTGTATTCAACCACAGTCTAAATCCAGGTTGTTGGGCTTTTTTTTAAGGAAAGGTGTTTTCAGAGTGTCAAATAAAAAAATAGTGTTTAAGTTTTTGTCACATTTTGATTCTTCTCCAGTGCATGCCAACTCCATATCAACAGGCAATGTTGTATTAGTTGCCTCCTTTAATGTACTAATATGAGACTTCTGACAAGTGGCATCTTTATTAAATTGAGCAAGATTATTAGAGGTAACAGCATCTTCATCTTTTGAGTTTTGTTCATCCTGTGAAACAGTTACAGTATCACTACAATAGCTCTCTTGAGATTCATACATCTCAAATACTTCTTCATTTCCAGACTGATTTTCCAGCTTTGTAAAGGCATGCTGCGATACCGTGCAAATTGCATGGCTTAATGCTGTCATTGGGTTAGCTGTAGCTGAGAGGGTTGTTTCTTGCCTGAAATGTTTAGGTGTGAAAAAGTGGCATAATTGTTATTGTTATTTAAGCTGAATTCTTTGTGATTCTTTTGTACTGTTACATCATCAATGTTAGTAACCTGTACAACTTCCGAACCATCAGTTTCATTTATTTTTTTCTCTTGCTCCTTCCCAGCAGCATACACAATCACTTTATCACTTCCATTAAAATCCTTCCCACTTTCCTCCATATTCTGTGATCCTCCTGTTTTATTCCACTTATCTTGCACATTCCCAGCTTCCTCCTCTTTTCCCTTATTGCCTGCTTCATTTTTCTTTGCTTTAGAGGTATTTGTGGCTTCATTTTCAGACAGAGCACTGAAGGATGAGTGTTGATTTTGTTGTGCATTTGCAGTGTCATTTTTATTTTGCTTGCTCACAGCATTTTCTTTCTGAGGATCCTTTTTATTGCCCAGAGGTTTATATGTATTTAAATTAGAACCTTCTTGAGCAAAACCTTCGGGGGGCCACTTCGGCTTATTTACTTTAGCCACTTCTTCAATAGAAAATGTTTTCTTAGGTGTTACCTCACCTGTTGAAGGAGGCCATGTCAGCTTTAGTTTACCCCTTTCTGTGTTTTTTTTCAAATTCCTATCCAAAATATCAGGTAGTGAACCATCAGTACCTGAGTACAAGTCTTGATCAATGTCTGTAATTGGTTTAGGATCAACAGGTATACTACTAATGGGATTTGTTTCTTCAGCATGAGTATTGCCAGCTGAGCTACATCGCTCTTTAGAATTCCATAGTTCTTTATGCTGCTTGTGTCCAAAGCCTTCATCGTAATTTCCTTTTGACTTGAAAAGTTGCTTAAAATGGGGTTTACAGTATATTTTTCCATGGAGAGATGCATAATTTCCCAAGCTGCCGAATGGAAGGAAATTTGTTTTACACTTTTACATATCATAAATCTACTGTGAATTTTAAACTTTACTTGGTATTTCAAGTGCCCCTACATGACATTACATATAAAGAAAAGGAAGAACAGAAAGAGAGCAAATTCAATGTACTGGCCAATTCTAACCACCCTGTACCCCAAAACAAAAGTATATAAAACTAATGCGAATTCCCATGCAATTTCAAAGTCAAAATGTTTGAGAAGAATCATGCTTTGTGATTTTAGAAAGAACATATATCTATTCAGTTGTTGCATAGCATAAGCTTCAAATAGCAAAATTCCACAGCACTTTGGGGTTGCTAGGACCTTTTTCTTCATCCTATTAAAGACTGAATTCTCTATTTTTCTACAAAATAGGTTCAGAAAATACAGTGCAAATTTTCTGTAACCTTTGTGCAAATTATAGAATTTTTTGTTTAATTATATTTTGATTCTGCTCCTAAATGAAGTAGAGGAAATGCATGTAGCTAATCTCCAAAGTGTTAAAGTCAGAACTGTTAGCCTAAGCAGTCTGTTAGCCTATTTAACTGTTAGATAGCTACTGCATTTTGTATAAAGGTTACAAGAGTGGTTTGCTAATGCAGAGAATCATCATCGTTCATTTTATGGGTGAGAAAAAGTAAGAGGAAATTTGGTCTGTGTTGACATGCTTTAAGTTCCACCCAAGTTGCTGTATCTACTGTTTCTGGTTCGTGAGCTGTCCTGAAGGTCTGGAGCAGTCAGTAGGAAACAATATGCAGAAGAATTTGGAAGGTAGTGGGATGAAGCAGTTCTTTAGAGAATTTAAAGGCCTTTGGTTAATAATGGTTCAGGTGTCAGTAGCAGAGAAGTAAAGGGGGAACGCAGGTTTCCTCCCTGTCAACCCAACATCCTCCAGGCTGAATAGCCTAGTTGAAAATAATTTCACCGTCTGCATTTATATTCAGATGCAGAGTTCTATGAGCGAACACGCAGTTAATTCTTACCTTAATTGACTGCCACAGTGGTAACATCGGAAACATGATTTATGAAAATTCTGCTTGTCAGCAACTAGGCACTCCATTGGGTAAACTCTCTGTTGACAGAGTCTGCACGTTTCGTTTTCCTGAATCTGCAGTTTCTAGAACCACATATTAAAAAGTATGAGTTAGTTTAAGCTGCATATTGGGATTTATTTTTAACTATATCATTTGTTAATTGTTAAAACTGTAGTTTTCTTTATGCATTAACTGGTATCTCAGCTGTCAATTTTAGGGCTTCATTTTTTGTTCAACTAACAATAATTCCTTGAAAGTGGAAATACTGTTCAACTTTCCCTTTTCAGAAATCCATACATTTGAAAAGACTATTTACTTCACTACACCAGGTACAGTATTTCCATTTATTTTTAATAACTACTTATTTTGTGAAATGAGATAGGATGATAAAAGGTTTACTTGTATCAGTGGAATTGAGTATAATGTATGTATAATCTTTGAATCTACAATGTGATTTAGAGATCAATAAACAGGGCAAATGTTTGAAATTCTGATGAGGAAGTTTTACTTGATCATGCCAAAAACACATGAGGGAGTTCTACTTCTGTGGTAATCTACAGACTCTACACTCATATGGCCCAGATATGCTATGGACATAGTTATTTGTGACTTCTATAATTTTCATTTTCAGAGCTGATACTTTCTTCAGTTAATTTTTAAGGCTGAGTTAGCTACAATCATATTAGCCACCTCTATCAAATCCTTTCTTTTATGAAGTATAATTAATTATAAAAGAAATTAGCTCTTTGTAAAGTAGAAAGCACGAATAGAAGTTTTATTTCATACCAATAAGGGACAGAAAGAAATAATGGATAATCTATTGGGCTTGCAAAAATGCAGATGGCTTTTCTGTCCTAATTCCCGTATTGCTGTGGGAACTGTACTAGCAGACAAATACAAATAGGGTGTATCAAATAATTGCTTGTATTATCTTCACTAACAATAGTAATGGCCCTTGACATCTGCAGAAAATTTGGCCCCTTTCAGCATTCTGTCTGGTTTTGGTTTGCCTGCTGGTATTGATTTTATAGCAATTCACAAATCAGGACAGAAAGTTATGTAGATTTTCTAAGTACAGCTTTAGTTGCAAAATATCCCTAGTGCCATAATGGAGCTGTGAAAAATGCTGAGAATTAAATATCTTCAAAATAATGTCGAATTTGCAATAAGAATAAACCACCAATAAAAACAAACAAAAAAATCCCCCAAAGAACTGTTAATTATAAAATAGCCTCAAATGTAGCTCAGATTTCTGAGAGACACTGAGTGGCTACACTCCTTAGTGATGTGAAACCTGGACTCTTGATGGTAGATGGGTTTGTCCTTAATTCAGACTAAGGCTGTGTCAACTGGTAAAAGTGCTCAGCAGGGAAGAGCAGGCAAATTTTTATGTTAATTTGGAAACTCTTGTAGTAATTTTTCTCAAACAGGAGACCCACTGAAATGTAGTTGACTTTGTCTTAAGTCACGTCTTCTGCTTTAATAAACTGAAAACAGATGTGTACAAAACATGACCATTATTTTATCTCTAGAGCTATTTCATACAGGCAATGTTTTACTTCAGTTAAGAGGATGTTGCATTGATTTTAAGCATGAGAAGTCAGGTGCGTTCTGTGCGCATTTCCTAGCACGCTAGTATTTCTCAAATACAACAGTAATGCTATTTTAATTTTAAAACCTATTTTTAATATGTTTTTGTTTTTATTTTGCTCTATATAATTCTTCAGGGTAGGTCTTGTAGCATTAATCCTCATAATGGTGGAAGAGATAGCAGCTAGAAGCTTTCACAACAGTTCCTGCATCTTCCTGCAGTTCCATTAAGCTGCTCAGCCTTCTTGTCTTTGTGGAGATCTGTGTGAATTCCTACATTGTATTTTTGTACTACTTGAGAATCCTTGCCATCAAATTTAGAATCAGCAAGTGTGCTTTGCTGTGGTTTTACAGGGGCTGCTGCTTCTTCTGTGGGATCTTGATCTTGCTTTGATTTTTGTGGTGAAGTTTCAGCAGTATTTAATTTGTCTGAATTCTCTGTGTGCCAAGGCTGTGTTTCAATTAACTGTTTGCCTCGTGCCCATCACTGCTCATCTTTTCATCCACTGAGATTCCATGTACCACTTTAAAGATAAACAGGTCTTTGTTGGTCACAAGTAAAGGCTGCTTTTTAAATGTGTGGTCTACTACTCTGACATGCCTCTTTTCACTGTCTTCTCTGTTGACAGTTTCATTCTCCAGTTTTTGACTGGAGTTGGTTTTGGTAACAGACAGTGGCTGAGGTTCAAAATATTTTATGCATCTCTTCACACTTCCTTTAAGCTATTTCAGCTCAGACCTCAGCTGCAACAAGTTAAGGACATCTAGTGGATTAAGCTGCCCAAGTTTATCTAGGTTCTGTGCTTCCAGCACGTGCCTCAGACTCTTTACATCACCACTAGGAACTTTTTGGATAAGAGTTTCATCTGATATGGCTCATTGTGATAGTTCTTATTCATAGGGTCCAGTGGCTGCATTTCAAACATCCAAGTGACTGCGTGAACACCGTCTCTAACTAATGCAAAAGCCTTGTCCATACCTCTTGCACAGCCAGGAGCATGTACACGCAGTGCAAGAGACTGGCTATGTATTTAATATTTCTGCCTGCAATGGTTTTCTGGTCTACAATGCTTCTAGCTCTGGGTCTGGAGGGTCATCTTTAATTAAAAAGAAAGGCTGGTTCTCAAAGACCCATCTTACAGAGAGGACCTCTCCTCTCCAGATTTCACACCACTCTAAGCATTTTTTTTCTGGTCTTGTGAACATCTGAATAATGAAGTCAAATCTATATATAGCCTGCTGCACATCTGACATAATACTCTGTGCTTCAGATTCACCAGATAAAATATTAGAAGTCTTAGGTAATGTTTCTCTAAGTGTTTTCTTACTTGTACATTTGTATAAACATCTTAGTTCATATAAATTGCTTTGCTTTGGATACAGATCTACAGAGACCATGTGCTTCATTGGAGAGATGGATGAATCAGTGGACTGGGAAGTTGTGTCATTTCCAGTGGAGCTTTTGTAGTGGAAAACTTTTCCGTGCTTCCCTATTCATGGGATCTGGAGCAAATCATTGCAGAAGTAGCAGTTCCGTCCTTTTTTTACCTTAGTGCAGAAGTTTCCTGTAGCCTGCTTGCTGAAGTAGTAGCAGTAGGTGGCTGATGAACTAACTGTTGAAGGCAATTTAATTTCCTGGTACATATTTTCCATCTTTCGTGAACAAAAGGGGGTTGTTTTTTTTTTAAAGTTACATATAAATTTATTTATTTATTTATTTTTATTCTTGTTGAAAGCTAGTTCTGCAGGCATCCAAGCAATAGGCTTATAGTAAGATCTGGAAAGACACAATGCATCAGCTAATGCTCAGAATGCTTAAAACAGACCTTTTGAAATAAAAGCTGCACTATTTGCACAGTGAAAAGAAATGTGAAATTCTTGCAAAATGCAAAATGATGATTGAACACTTTCAATCATCAAAATGAACAAATGAAGGCTTTGCATTATGAGCACAATGTAAAGTTATGCGTGGCTTATGCTCATTTTCATTTCTTCTGAAAGTGACATTTTCTATGCTTCTTGGAATCTGTGGTGACAGAAATTATACATATTTACAGATTCAAAACAAGGAAGTAAGAGACTGTATTCAGCAGAGGAGGATAGGAATGCAGAAGTTTTTATAAAGGTCTACTTATTTTGTCTGTCACATTCTGTGAGTACTTGTTGAGCTTTCAATATATTTCATATTACATGCACTTAATTTCTAATGTCCATATATTCCCACCACTTTCATAGGTTACAATCACAGTCAAAATAGAAATTCAGACTGCTTGGCAGACCAGTGTCTTAATTTCACCCTTTCTAATTTGCATAAAGAAAAATCCCTCTTATTAAAAACACAGACCTTTACTTCTTTTGCAGGTGTTGCAGTCTCTCTGTCAGAGTGAACAGCTGTTTCCTGAACTGTCCTTTCAATCTGCTGTTTTAAAATCTGTGTTACAGTCTTTGGGAGCTCTTCGTCCTGAGCTGCATTGATTACTGCAATGGGAAGAATAATAAAAAAAGATCATTTTTCATCCACCCTGCATTTTATGAAATTGACTTTATCAGTGGATTTTAAAACATTATTACATTAGAAAAATTACACGTAGCCTTGCAGAAGTCTAGAGAGTCACTTGATTGTGAACAGAAATCCACTGAGAAAGTGACGGAATGGTTGTTGAGGGACATGTTATCTATCACCTGCTGTTTTGCCATACCTGAGTGGAGTGACAGGGCTAAAGGTTGACAGGTCTATGGGGGAATATAATGTGTGAATTCCAATACTAGGACTAAACTGCAGGAGCAGCAGTGTCTTAACACTCTGGTCATATTCTGCAGGGATATTCAGTTCAGCTATAAATCAAACCTTTCTTATCTACAATTCTGTATGTACATGGGCTAGTGTTTGCCTATGTTTTCAGACAATTCTTCAAGTCTTCACTTTTTTCAGGGAACTGAATGCATATGTTAAGCCACCTCCTTATGCAAAAGCCATCTCTGTCCCAAATTCTAAACTAATTTCTTAAGTCCCATTGAAGGAAATTAATGTGCTTTGCAGAGAATTCAGAGCAATGTGTGTTTTCATGTTTGTATGCTAAGAGCAGCACATCTGTGTGAGTAAAGACATTTGCCGTTGCTCACTTGTGAGCCTTTATTCTCCTGCCACTTCTTACCTGTTTCATCAGTATTCTGACTCCATGTGGAAGCCATTTTTGTCCCTGGAGTAACTTGCTCACGATGAGAAGCCTGTACACAAAACCTTCACTTTACTACAGGGTTTGGTGAAATATGCAAGAATTTTACATACTCAATATTTAAAATATATGTATTTAAAATGTTCCAATAAAGAAAAATAGGAATGGAAACCTAATTAATTACCATGTCAAAACGATAATAAATTAAAACCGCTTAATAAAACACCTTTAAAAACTTACGCACTGCCTAATGAGCGAGGCTATCAGCAGAACTTCCAGATCTTGCTGCACCAAGTGGTAAAGGTGGAAGAGGCAAAGCAGATATGTATCAGCATCAGTATAATTGTTCAATGAGATGATTATTAATTGATATAATTACCTTTTGTGTTTGAGAGGCTTCCATTTGACTTTCTTTGGAGGTTATTTCATTGCTCTCAGCTTCCCTGGTGCTCCTTGATACGGTATTTTGACTCCTACTTAACTTTTCCTAAAGACAAAAATAATTGCACATTAATAGCTAATAGTAAATTAGAATTTTTTTGTTTGTTTTTTTTTCCTATGAAGGGTTTTCACAAATAAATTAAATTTAAATGGTGTAACTAGAACAGTTATTTTACAGCAGAGTAAATCGATATTTGTTGCCATAAAAATTGGAACAGACTCTTTTATAACACAGAAGATCTCAATTTCTGTTACTGCAGCTCTACTTTAGCCAGCAGATACAGAAAGCTGCATGAGTACTCACACTGTATCACTAGTCTGGAAGGGGATGAAGGTGACTAGGACTACTGCTTCCAGTTTTATGTGTTCTGCTATCAGCTTGTTACCTATCATCAGTCAGCAGGCTAATACAACTTTGTAAAAGGAAGTGTAATAAGAGTTGCTGACTTCCTGCATATGCTTTATACAGCTCTTCTGATGCAAAAATCTTGCTGAATTGCAGTTGTGAAAAATGTGACCCACAGGCTAACCAGAACATCCTATAAAATATACAGGCTGGCATTGTATCTACAAGTCTGACAACAGCAGTGTAATAAACAGAACATATTGTTGAGAGTTTAAAGCACTGTCTAACATGTCTGTTTAAACTGATTTCTGAGGTTATCTTATGCTTAGTTCAACTCCAGACTCTGGCAGTGATTTGTTTTCTTATTTAAAGCCTGTCACAGAACTTGTGTTACATCACATTATCTGTGTTCATGTAGTACTTTGCAATTTAGTGATTAGAAGAAATAAATCCTAAAGATTGATGTTATCAAGACAGCAGTTGTGTGCTTCCTTTCTCTTGCACACTAGCATGCACACAGAAACATCTAACAAATAATTTCACTCATGTCAAATTTTCTTCCTTTGTGAGAAGGAAGCTTGCCTACTAGTTTCTACTGATAACAAGCTTTCAAATGAAAGGAGCTTGTTCCTCCAGCAAGAGCTTCCCAAGTGTTTGATGTAATGCAAGTGTGAAATTGTGTTTCTGAGATTGCTACTATACATCTAGTGCAACAGAGATCAGTAAGCTTCCTGCCTCTCAAATCCTGGCATCTCCTTGAAATCCAGTTAATTGTGGGGCAAGAGATTACCTCTCTCCCTTAGTCATCCCATGGCAAAGCATATATTTATGGGATTTATTCCACCTTCAAACTAAGGAATGCTTACACTGCTTGAATCTTCAGTGACATTTCTGCTGAATCGATACAGGGGAGCATTCATTGCCTTACTGGTAATTTCTGCCACATAGTAGGCAGCAAAGGCTCTTAGGTTCTATGGCAGCAAAACAACATGCATCCCCTTTGTGGGCTTTAGGAATTCTGTTTCACCTTGGTGCTGCCAAACCATCTGTCTTACCTATAAGATGCATTAAAATTATACCAACAAAAGGTAAAATAAATTTTCTGATTCCTGGCCCAGTAAATGATTTAATACCAGGATCAAAATTAATTGTATCTACTGCAAAGTTTCAACTGTCAAAGTGAGGTGAGGCTTGAGGAGAGAGCAAGTCAGAGCATGGTTTACACTCGCAAGTTCTGTATGTGCAACAGTTGTGAGGGAGCTGCACAACAGGAGGAAATGTAAAGCTAACCCTACACCAAGTTGAAAAGAGGCAGTTCAAACAAAACGAATTACAAATTTTTCCATCTCTGTTTAATGCTTATGTGTTGATTTATGTATAGTATGCCTTTTCATTTTATATGGATATGCTTTCTAATATATTTATGCATACATACGCTTTTTTCATTTAAGAGATGATTTTCTATTCTAATGTACATGTTTTAGATATGTAAGTTAAGAAGTCATTACTGTAAAAGCTCATTCATGAGACACAAAATATGTTCATGACAGTCATTATGTGTCCTTTGAATGGTGTGGAGTATTAAAAAGGAATATAATTAGGCTTAATGTAGTCAGGAAGCAAATCTAATATGAATGTCACTACTGCTTTATTGCTATAACTTTGGTACTGCTTATGAAGTAGTTGCCATATTGCAAAAGATTATAATTGTTTAATGCAACAGCTATGACTGAGTGAAATTCATCCTAAACATTATAGGCCAGATTTTGGCAATATAAATACACAGCTTTGCTCTGGGCATGCAGGGAGGAAGAGGATCTTGAAGGTTCTCATATTTTGTGTGTCTGTCAATATGGCTAATTGAAATTCCAGTCACAGAGGGTAAAATGCTGATTGTTTATTTTTCCAAACAAGTGTCGAGCAGGAAGACCTGTGGTTTCATCTCTTCTCTGTAATGGCCAGCTGTTGGGTATGGGATAGGATATCTTGTAGATAGAATTAATGTAGTCTACCCCATTAGAGTTTGTGGCATGTTTTGTAGATCCCATAGATTTTGGAGAATTATTTGATGGTCTGCATGGGCTAAGGTTACTCTTAGTAAGCAGGATAAATCATGCCTCCAATACAGGACTGTGGCTGAAGATCATGATCTAGATTTAAAACTAGTTAAGAGTTGTACTTGTGGGAACTTGATCCCTTGTTTCTGTGGCATATACAATTCCTGCTGTATTGTGCATTATTAAATCAAGCAAAGTTATTTAATCAAGTAAGGTTATTTAATCAACCAGATCTGCATCCCAGCATCAGAAGCAAACAGCTCCCCTCCAGCTGTGCAAGGGAGGAGGACAGATAGACAACTCAAAGTCACTTTTGGCGGCAGGAATGAAAAAACAACGTATTACAGTTGCTTTTCCCTTCTCCCAAGAATCCCCTTTAAATTACTTTTTGTTTATTCTATGTTGTCTCATAAGGGAGCTTCAGAAATCACCGTCAGCTGGATGATTGTTGGCATTAGCTCATGAACAGCTTCTTATGGTCATTCTATTTTCATTTCAGACTTCTATTGCCATCCATTCTCTTCCATTTGTTTCAAGTCACCCTTTATGGGGACTGCTGTCCTCTCCATGAATATCTTTGTGGTACGTAATACAGAGGACTATAGTACCCTGTTGCATATTTGGATAAATCGTCATTCTAACCTAAAATGATATTATTTAAAAAAGAAAGATGTAGATCTGGAATAAGTTTGTATACATTTTGTTAGAAGAGTACATTTATATGCAGGCATTTAGATTCTGGTACTGAAGAGAACTGTAATTGCTACATGCATTTTATATGTTAGAGGCTCACACATCAGTTTTAGCACCTCTGCTTTGCAATAATTTAGATAACATTCTTACTGCATAACGTGCCCAGATTTGAATTTTCAGTAACTGTTCTGTGTATTTTAGACCAACTGCTCTGACAACAAAAACATGCTTTTCCTAAAAAAAACAAAATTAAAAATAGCTTTGAGGTTAAGACTATGAATGCTTTTTATATGCATATGTACATAAAACACATACAATTCTATGTATGTATGTATTGTTCAAGGGGATCATATGGCCCAAAAGCTTGTCCAAGAACAAGAAAGCCTTTTACTTGTGCACGTTTGAAACACACAGCTTTTAGTTGAACTGTACATTGTGGTTGTCATATAAACTCTGTGGGAAGCTAGCTAATGCAATATCATTTATGTATCGGCAGATTTGGAATTTACTGTTCTAAGCTGTCAGTACGTACAAGCTTGCAGTTCCCTTTAGGCAGCAATAGAAGTAAATTGTGATCTTAAACCTTCAGTTACGTAATTCGTAATAATAGAATGACTGACCTGATGAATGATTTACTCAGTGTGAATCTTTGTTTCTTCCTCAAAAGCTATGCTTTTTTTCCTATTTATGTTTTTAGCATGGTATCATCTGTGCATCAGTACTGTGAGATTCTTGCAGAAATTTCTCATGAGACCTCACTTATCTGCACGTCATCTCTATGACTTGTCAGCCTTGCTTAGCTCTATGTATATACTAAAGGTGTTTTGGACACTATATGCAAGATTTTCACTAAAAGGTAAGGTTTTCACCATTCACTAACATTGTCCTGTTATTCAGTCTTACGCTGTGCAATTGCTAGAAAATTGGCAGTTGCTACATTAGCATTCCTACAAACTTTGTCAGGAATGACCCTCAGTGGAGGGAAATGGCTTGTTTCTGACACTGGATAGTGAGACTGAGCAGCTAGCTAGCTAAGTGGTGTAGCAAACCACTTCAGGCTGGCATTTGCAGAATAATAGCACTGAAGCTCATGACCTCTTAGCTTAGTGGCTGACAATAAAAGGTGCTCGTGGTGCCAGGTGGTCAAATTAAAGACCAGGTCTCTAAACAAACCCTGGTTGAGTGTAAACAAACCCCGATGAAGACATGGCAAATTCTGTGACCAGTTTGCATTGCTGCTCACCATTCTGGAGGAGAGCTTAGTGCATCCTACTGGTAATATGACACCTTTCACAAGCAACAAATCTCCCTTACAATGAAGAAGCCTATGAGTGACAGCTCCTGCTGGAGAAAAACAGAAAGATACATAGCTATTATTTGCATATATGACGCCAATATTTTGAATGAAGAGCTAGGCACTCCTTCTGCAATAACTGAATATGTAGTGAAATGTTCAGCTGCTGAAAAAACAACTGTTTAAAACAAATAATGCTTCCTTATTTTAGCTTAGATTAATAGTTTGAATTTATCCAGATCTGTAGGCCTGTCTTCAAACTACATGATTTCTCTGCTTTGCCCTGGGATTGATTCAGTGACCTTGAGTAATCTTTCAACTACCTAAGTGTATAATCCCATTTTCCATGAGAGTGCAGTTATGTCAGATAGAAATGGGATTTTATGGTCTTGCAGTAAGTTATTTAACCTAAATTTAAAGATTGTTCCATATAATCTGAGTGATTTTATTTCCTGTGAATGTGACTCTTTCTGCTGATGATTTGCCTCCTCAAATAGCCACCTAGGACAAATACATGGATAAGTATACTTAGAGGTCACATCTTGTTTGAAGAAATGGAACCATCATAACGGGTTGGTGGAGAACTAGACATCATTGTTAAGAAAGGGAAAATGCATCTTATTTGATTCTGAGTAAGAGAAAAAGGCACATAATTTCTATCCATGGTTCTACATTTCTTTTTCCAGATACATGGCAGCTAGGTTGGACCCTGTCACCAGAGAAGTATGTGTATGACACTTCCTATTACCAAGCAGTATCCTCCAGTATGATTATGTCCAACTATGGGACATTTTTGTTTAGTAAAAAATGCTTTAATACTTCTGCAGCAAACTGTGTCTTCTACGCTACAAACTGGAGCTTTTCTGTTGTCTGTGCAGATTGTTGAAACTGGTATTAATGTATAAGTAATGAGAGATGATGGGTAGATATGATACTCATTTAACATGAAAATGAACCTGTAGCAGAATGTTCATGTGTCCTGTTCTATGAAGTTGAAGAGCAATATTGCTTAAATGGATGGTAAAGCACTTTACTGTGCCATTACTGTTTTTCAGAGTGCACAGGACAGATTGTACAATGTATTTTATTACAGAGGATTTCACATAGTCCCAAATCATATCTCCTACAACAATTTTTCATGGCACATGCTAACGAAGTAATACAATGTAAAGACCTTTTATCAAAATTAACACTTAGCTGCTGCTTTGTTCTACTTCTATGTAGCATCTGGGTGGTTCTGAGCAATTTTTGATCTTTTTAGGGGAGCTTATTAGATTTAATTCAATGGAAGCAGGAAACTCCTTTTGAAAGAGAATAGCTTAACATCACATCAAGCACAATAAATGCAAAATATCACCATGATACTTGAAAATGAATTACAGGCTTAGAGAGAAGGTTAAGTATAAAAAAATGGTTTGGTAGTAATCTGCTTTACTCATCTATTTGCTGTAAATCTAGTATTGCCTATATTGAGTGTTCGTCCCTATAAAAAAATACATGATTCCTGTAGTATATCTCAAAGACTAAATTCTATGAGTATGAACATTAAGGAAATATTGTCTTAGTCATAATGAAAGCTATTTAGTAAAGCAAAGAATCATATTTTTTTCCTCCAGCTATCTAGCAGGGCATACCTCATTTGTCAGTATTAAAAATACTATTGTTACCTGTACAGATTTGTGCTGGTACAGAGCAAAGGTCTTTCGTGAAGACATCGTCCGCACTTTCTCGAATTGTTTCCTCACTGCTGCCAGGCCACCAGGCACAGTACAGAACTTGGTTTTCTCTGAAGTCTGGAGTGATAAAATAAGTTTTCCATTTGCACAAAGAATGTACTTCTATGAGTTGATTTTTTTTTAGAAGTAGTTAAAAACAGTATGCTGCATAATGCTTTTAAATTTCATATGGAAAATTTGGAAACACTTGGCTGTGTCTCTAGCCTCTTATAGGCAACTTCCACTGACATAAATCTGTTAACCCTACTTAATGGATTGACAGATAAATTAACATTAGCATTCAGAATAGGCACAATAGTAAGAGTTATTTTTCAGGCGTTCTCAGCAAAATACGAATCACACATACAGTAAACATTAACTATTGAATGGTTGACTTTCACTCCTCAGCCAAAAATTAGGGCCTGCAAATTATAAAGTTCTTTTGGAATTTTGAGATCTATTTAATTTTATATTTGTGATAATATTTGTGATCTATTAGCTGCTAAATGCTCTTCTGTCACATTGATCCTGCTGGTGTAACTGCATATTCATCTTGCCTAAACTAGTGCCTGAGGACTCAGTGGTTTCCTCTGAAGTTTTTGGGGTGTATTTTGGGGTGTATTTTCAACTGTGTAGTAATCTGTCTTTACAGGAATGACTCAGACAATCATAAATTCTGTTTTTCCATAGGTATTGTTGAAGAGCATGCAGAGAGTTTCAAGCAGGCCTTTGTGAGATGATCTTTCTTCACTAACAGTACTGAAGGTCACAAGAGTGCTCTTACCCTCAGGCTCCCTGTTCTAGTTGTGTCCCTTATGTGTTACCTCTTAGATGGTACTAAAATGAAGCTTTCAGAATTTGAGATTATTAATCAGTATGCAGAAAATAAACCACCCAATAATTAGAAATAGTCTTGTAAGTAAGGTTACGAAGTTAGATTTAGTGCTGACCCCTGATGAGTAAGTAAGCAGATTATAAAAAACGGGTATTTTTTTCCTATGATGAAAATGGCACAGTTCCATGTGTGCATGGACATATCTGAATGTGAAAAGTAATTATTTTAGTAAATGAACATGCCAGGCACACCTTGCCAGCCCTTTGGAGAACTTCAGAAGGGTTAAATGCAGTTATGGGTTCTTCAAGGAAATGTAATAATTCCCTTTAATGGACCAGATATACAGTTCCTTTCTCAAGCAAAGATCCATTTCAGCAAGAAACTGGGAGGAGTTCTAGACTGCAAATGAAGCAGTTCCTGTGTTCCACAGTTAGGTTGGCTCAGGCTTCACACAGTTCTTTTCTATTTCTTCTCAGCCAGGTGAACTGCAGGAATCTACTCCAAATACATGCAGACAATTAGGAAATAATGAAGTTAGTAGGCAGGGATTGGGTGATTGGAAAACACCTGAACTCTGGCTGATTGTGATTGGTGGCTGTTTTCACCATGTAGCTTTGGCCTATATAAGGACCCAGAAGGTCCCTTCAGCTACTGCAGACTGCTTCTTTCAAGAACCAAAGTGCAGGTAAGACTGGGAATCCTATAGTGATTCTTGCATACTGGCAAAGATGCCAGCTGGCGAGAGCTGAGCTGAAGTCCTTCTTTTGCCAGTTATGCTCTCTGATTTACAGAAATTGCTCTGCCCTATTTTATAGTAAGAAAAAGTTGTTTTTTGCCATGTGCAGAAAATTTAGCATAAATAAAGACTATTGTCATTCTAACATTGTAGCAGGCCTCCGTTTTCTGATACAAGGGGATTGGGCTATAACTTCCATGTAGGATTTTAAGATATAGTAAAACCACACCTTTTGGTCCTTAGTACTTCTGTGAAACTGAGGCAGATTTTCCTGGCTAAGATCTGAAGGCCTGCTTTTTCAGACATTCCTGACTGATAATCAAATGTGCAGTGGTCTTGCTCTATTTTAATAGATTATAAATTCTGTTAGCCAAATACTTTATGTTCTACTTGGTATTAATATTAAATTTTGCTTTAAAATACTTAATTCCTATTGACAGATATGTAGAGAGATGACTAAGACACATTTAAAGGTTTATTTATAAAGAATTTTTCAGATAATGCCAATTTTATGTTAATTTATTATAAAGCAATACTTTCTCATACACCTTATCTCATACAGCTGCTATTTTGAAATGCAGCAATTTGAATTGAATTCTTTAGTTTGACCTGCAAGAGGGCTAAACTTAATGTGCTTTTGAATATGATTTTGTTATTTGGTAATATTTTTAATAATGCAGAAACAGCTGGGTTTTGCTGCTATAAGCTGAAAGAATAATTGTGCTGGTAATCTGTTGCAAGCCTGTGGTTCTAATCAATCCAGTTTGTGCAACAGTGGAATAAAAAGAACAGTCATTCCAAGGTATTAAAGGGAATTTTCCAAATGACCAAACGTGTATATCATGAGAAGTCTTGTTCAGTGGGGACACAGACTGATGCATCAATGCATTTGCTGAGCTGATTTGTTTGGTAATTTAGGTTTTAAATGTTGATCCCCATCAGTCAGCTTGTATAAGGAATGTAGGATATGTCACTATGCAAAGCAAACACACCTAAGAAGGTAAGGAGTGATATCTTACATGAGCAAAGGAGTTGCTACCCTCTATCTCGAACACAGCAGCCTTGTACATAGCCATCCTTTCTTTCAAGGAGACAGTTTCCTGGACATCCAGCAGTGCGTTATCAGCCCTGGAAGCACTCTCTTTAAATAGTCCTCTTACACGTTTGTGAGAACCCACTGTAAATAAAAATGGACATCATATTTTCTAAGGAAACCTGTACATTCTTTCCAAGTCTTGAAAGAAAGGCAGTAGTAGAAAGGAGAAGTATTACAAAGTTTTTAGCAACTCTATCTTACTTTCAATTTGGAACTTACTGAGTACAGAAAAACATAATGCAGCGAGGATTTTGAAACTGAGGCAAATTTCTTGAGGAAACAACAAAAAGCATAATGTTACATTTGCATTATTTTATACTGTAAAAAGTCTTTATAAGTTCTAGAAATAACTTGTTACAATTGGATATATTATGTTCTAATTAGCTTTGTACATTTTAGTATTCATTTGCATAAAAGAGAATCCATAGAATTCAGTTGTTTGCTGATACTGCATTAGAGTATGTTTTAGTTGGTTTACTACTACTAAAACCGTATTGAAAATTATCTAAATTACTACCTACTTTTTAACCTTATTTCAGCTTATGAATGTTATTGAATTATCTATTAGCATCTGCAATTCAGCCACAGTGAATGTGGAGAAATCACTTCAGAGCACTCCTGAAAGAGCAGCAGTTACTAGCCCTAGGAAGTTTTTTGTGCTATCTACGGTCATATGATTGTATTTGAAGAATTCCATCTACCCAGAAAAGTGCCTTAAATTTAGCATAAAGATATCCTGCCTCCTTGTTTCAGAGAAGAAAAGTATGTTGTGAGCACCCCTCTTCTTTGTGATAAGAGGCAGAAAAGATTTCATATAATCCCACAGGCTGGAAGTTCTTCTGCAGTGCATGCAAAATTGGATTGCATGACACTGGATTTCTGTAACCAGTACACTCCCTTTTATGGGAGGAGAGGGAATTTTAGGACTTCAAGAAGGTATATTTTTAGTAAAGCCCCCAGAATCTAATTTTTTAATCCTTGTGCTTGTGCTGCAGATATCGGAGCACCCTAATCTTCCCTAAATTCATCTACGTTTCTCCTTGTCCTTACATAATAGGCCAGAATAAATCTGTTGCAACCTGCATTGGTGTTTTGGGGTGTGTTTTTTTTTAAATTATATTTTCTGAAATTACAGGAAAAGGCTGTAGCTGAACAAAATTGTCTTAAAAAACCCACCCTGTCCCCCCACAAGCATATGCTGGAATTTCTCAAAGTTGAGGAAATTACTAACTTAAGGGGAAGAAACAGTGTAGACGTGTCCTCCTGTTCTATGTGTTTAATTCAAGCCAGTAGGTACCCAAACTAAAACCTTAAAATCCATTTCCAAACAGGAAAGAAAGTCAGAGAGGAAACTTCAGATGTGTGCTTTCTGCTAGCCATTGGCAGTTTACTTGTATTCTTATATATTCTGGCACTGCTGACACCTTGTCTTCCTGAGTGTGCTGTTACTTTGTTGTAGCACATGACTTTTTGGCTGCCTTTCTTTTTCTTTTGAAATGACATAATTATATTTTTTATAATTTATTTTCATCTTTCTGATCATTCCCAGACTTATTAAGCAAATCAACTCCTTGCTATAGTTTGGATAGGAAATTAGTAGCTTCACTTTTTGATCTAAATTTTCACTCATTTGTTTTGCTCCTTTTGCTCTACACTTTTGTTCATTCAAATGCCCTTAAAGGTGTAACAGCTTTGGATTTCTTCAGAGATAAATGTGTGCTTTTGATGAAAGAATCTGTAAGAAGAGCCTTATGTCTACCAAGCTGAGGTATGCCAACAAAAACCTGTTCACTTTTGACATGTGGGACTCATGTAATAGTATCTATTTCAGAGAATTTAATTCTTTTATTAACTATAAGTTCCATCAATTCTATAAAGTAAATGGAGCTTGACAAACCTGTGTATGACAGGACTGGTGAGTCCTGTCTTTCTGCCGTATTTTTCCAATGATATGACTACACTAGTTATTCCTTATGAGTTTGTCCTAGTTTCTCTAAGTTTTCAGGATAGGTTGAACAGCAGTATGAGCATTGCCTTTCTGCTTTTCAGGGGAGAAATACAAATTATTGGTACTCAGACACAGAGCTTGCTGTGAATGTTGCTTGATACCTCTTCTAAAAAAAGATTTTTGGCATAACTGAAACATTTAGCTAAAAAGCTCTATAGCACTTTAGTGTTTCTTTCTTGAAAAATTGAAGCAAGCTGACATATATTATCACTGGTTATAGAAAACTCGGATCTCATGGTGATGGGAGAAATAATCTGAGGATCAGCATTATCTTATATTTTTCAGGATCTGAATATTTATTCAAGTGCAGAGTTGCAGATTTCAGTGCTGAAGTTCAGCTATTAGAAGTTTAAGAGTTTTCACCAGTACTTTCAAACAGCCAAATGAGTCTATAGGGAATTTACTTCTCATAAGAGTCTCTGAATGCAAAATGGGGTATTATAGCTCTCACAGGAGAATCAAAAAAACATTATCCCCTATGGGTCTGTCACATTTTTAGAAAAAAGCTTCATTTGTAAGAGGCATGAATTGTTGACTGTGCATTTTTACATAGTTCATATTCTTTGTTATTCCTGGTGGACAAAAAAAATGCTTCTGAAACATACTGTGCCCAATTTAGACTCGGAGGCAAAGTAGGTATGGAATGGAGGATTCTGTTCTCCTGTTAAGAAAAAGGACTGATTTGAAAGGAGAGTCTAAAAGGAGAAGCAAAACAAAAAGGACCTTACAACTATATTATAAAAAAGGTATCTGAAAGACTTGAGAATATGTAGAGAAGAGCCACAGAAGAATACTCCCACATGAAGAATGACAGCTGAATCTAGTTGATGGAAGAGAAGGTTATGGGCTGATTATGATATACAATTACCCTTCCAAGAGGATTCTCTTTAATTTGGTAAGAAAAAAAAAGGAAAAAAGATAACCAATGGCTGAAAGTTAAACCTATAAAAGATCATGTGTTTAATATGAACAATGAGCATAAAGAAACTTAAGAGCATTAGCTAAAAAGGGTCTTGTGCACTGTAATTTCCTTTTCCCTTTGATCTGATGGAGTCTGGAATTCCTAAACATGCAGGCTAAATGCTTCATTTTAAAAAAGAGTGGAGTCATAGTGGTTGATACTGTGTAGATGGCTTATTAATTTTATGGCAGAGTGGACAAGTCTCTTTATGCTATTTATTTGGGTAATCTATTGTTTTACATAAAGTTAAGTCCTAGACGTTCACAAATTGATAAGCAATTTTCTGTCAGAAATCTGTATCATCCATGTTCTTTCTCTGTTAGAGAAACGCAGATACAGACACTCTTTGGTACTTTCAAGCAGTGGCCTCCAAACTAAGATATATCAAGCCAGGGGCTGTGCAAGACAATCCATTGAGGTTCAAGAAGAACAATTTCCTGTAAATAAACATTTTTGAAAGGATTTTTTTAATTTCATCCATCCTCCCTATTTAGTATCTTTAATATCTCTTTGTGTGTGTTGCTATAATGTATTAGTACAGTTTGTGAATAAATGCATATACTCATATGCTCAAAAATGTTTTAATGATAGGGGTGCAGCATCAGAAAGGTTTAGAGACCATTGCCTTAAAGTGAGACATCAGATCAACATGGTAATGCTAACTAACCTTCAGAGCTGTTGCTGAGGCCATTTTCTGATGACATCTTTTCAAAGATTGCTCTCCCTCTTTTCACACTAGACTCCTTTGGAGTACTGGTGGAATGGCTCCCAGGCTGACTCTTTGATGTCAGTGAATGTGAACTTCTTTCATTTTCTGCTTCCTGTTAGAAAACATCAAGAAGATGCATGTTAAAAGCTTTTGGTAGGAAACAGGTGTGGGTTTTGGGAAGAGGAGAGAGGGTGAAGAGGCAGCAGATTAGAAGGGGGTGCTATTTCTGGGAAGACATTCTCCAGAATGCCCTAAGGTAAGTTTCTGTAGCACTGCAGGTTGCGGATTCATGGCTTATCATTCAACAGACAGTGATACTTGGAAGTATTCTTTTGCCATTTCTTGCATGTGGTTTCTTCCACAAGAGAGGGGTGGAGGTGGTTGTAAGGATCACAATAAAAGACAGCAGTTCTTGTTTAAACACTATTTGTACATAGAAAAGTTCACAGAGGGAATTTTATTAATTTCATTTACTGGTATGTAAGACTACATAAAAACAATTGCTTGAGAACAGATGTGCTTGGACATTTGTTTCAGAAATTTGATTTTCGATTCTACTGTTACCTACTGACTGAATTTAGCTTATCAGAATAGCAGGTTAGTGTTCCTAGAGAGTTTCCACGGTATCATTGGTATCTCATAATGCCTCAGCCCTTCGAGAGAAAATGAGTAAATTATTGCTAAGCAAAACTTTAATGTGTTAAAGCTGGTGTTTCTGGGGTGCTTCTCCCTCCATCCCTGCAATGCACTACTCAGTATGGACTTGGACACAACAGCTGTAAAGGCTTGCTCTTATATTAAGTAAATAAATAGCTGGAGTAGCAAAAATATACTCCCCCACCAACCCCAAGGGTGGTAAGGAAGGTTCACAGCAGATCCACATCTGCTGTCCCTGTAAAAGAGGTATGATAGCAAAAAAGGGTGGGTAAGTGTTTGGTCAGGTGACTACATTAATCTCTCCGGCAAGATTTTGTGGAACTTATTTGCCAGAGCCCTTTATTGCTTAAATGGCAGAGGTTTACAAAATGTACTGCTTTCATTAGCCTAATTCCTTTTTATTGTTTGCAGACAGCTTTATTATTGTATACTAATTTAATGCTACCCTTGTATATGATTTTACTGAAGTAACTCCTAAATGCTTTTAGATTTAGATATTATGCATGGTGTGTAAGAGGCAACAAAATTAGACTTCTGAATTTATTGTCTTACATTGGACAATATTTTCCAGTAACTATTTAAAAATAAAAAAAATTAATGCCATCCAACTTAATGAATCCTCAAATAGAACTCTTTCGGTGAATTGTAGAAGCCATTTTCACAGTAGCATATAATCAATTAATACATTCACCTTGAATTTTTTGAAAGTGACAGTGAACAAGCATTGGAAATGTACTTTTAAAATGCGTGCATTGTTAGCAATCCAGGACAACTGTGCTTCACCCATCTTTAATAAATTTCTGCTTTTTCTCATAACTGCTGATAGCTTTTATCTTAAACATGTACTGTACTTTAATGTTGACCTGTAGCCATTCTTTGCAAAAATATTCCTTCCTGTGCATGTATGATAGGTTATGTCTTGTGGAAACTCATGATTTTATAACAATCTGTCTACTTCTGTGAGTTATGGTAGCTTTTGCTTGAGATTAGCTAAAAGATTTTTGCATAATATGTCAGCACTGAAACAAATGACTGATTAGACCATAGAGGCTGAACATGTTTTATTACCATGGGTATTGTAAACCCAATTTTTTCAGCAAAAGTACCTGTGGTATCACCAATCATCAGTTATGTATGTCGCATCAGTCTTTCCTCCCTCCTCCTCCCCTCACTGAAAAGAGCACTGCTGCTACTGCTTATATCGAATTGAACTTGAAAGGTAATCTTGAGTACAGTGGATAATTTTAGTAGGCAGGCCAGGAGGTACACTCAACACACTGGAATACCTAAACATCTTTACATTTAAAGATGATATAAGGGGTCTTAACCAATACTGTGGGGTTTGTTGACTTTTATTTATCATGTTTACAGGAGATAATTGGTGTGAATCTAACTGAATTATTCTCTAATTGCTTTTACAGTCAGAAGCGTATTTTACTTTGCTATTATGGAAAGTATTTTTGCAGGGTAGTAATAGCAAAAGACAGATTTCTGGAGTGAGGAAAGCAGCTGTCCTTTTGCTCCACGAGACTTCCTTGTACCCTTCCTCACTAGCCTGCTGGGTACTTTCAGGCTGTACATGCTACTTAGAAATGGCAGGGTGGCGCAGTGCCAGTAAGATAAGCTCTGTGACCAGGCTGGGTTACAGTGCAGGTGGGCAGTTGTAGCACAGGTAGGATAGAGAGTTTGGCCAGAACATAGGTACGCTGAGAGGAATGAGATACTTAACATGCCAAGTGTATCAGGAGGCAGCAGGTGGCAGAAATGAATAGAGTATTTTGTATGGAAAGGGCTATGGCTTCAGATTGCTGTTTGTTTTCTAACATTTTTCAGAGTTGGCTATCAGGTACAATTGCAACTCAGTATTAATGATGAAATTTTTATTTAAAACAGACCATTATGTCTGAAATCTGGCATGGGCAATCTGTGATGCAGAAATGGCCCATGCAGGGGAGAAATGAAGGATGTGGGAGGGAGAGGAGAAATAAAAAGATGCAACTGAGTGTTTGTTAGGTCAGCCTGATTATGTCCACCTCCTCCAGTTCTGCAATCAGCCAGTACCTGGCATACATATGAACAGCCACAGGATCATGTTGCCACAGCATTGTGTGGCTTCCAGTAGTCAACACCAAGAATCCCTTTAATGATGATCTAACTTCTGCAGTATTAGAACAAAATGGAAAACTCAAATTGTACTGGGTTTTCAGCTACTGTTGGCATCTTCAAGAAAGAACTCATCTAGTTTGGGGTTATTTTTTTTTTTTATTCCTGATGTGTTTTTCTGTAGTTACCAGTAACAGCTAAAAAACTTCAGAATTTACTGTTTCTTATGCTTATCCTTGCAAGCTAGGGACCAATATGAGTTTGATTTGTATTTTTCTTACCTCTGTTAATTTTATTAACTTGTAGACTATGGTTTGGTGTTTTTTCATGTTTATCTCTGCAGTAGCAATTCCATGAACTAGAAAACTTATCTATGTTACTATTTTGGGAATATATCTCAGTAGGAATTTTAAAAATAATCTTTTTTGCCAATCTTTAACATATATTACAGGAATATTGGCCCTAGTTAAGAGGTTTTCCATGTAAATTATTTTATGGACAGGTTTCTGAGATGTTTGCTACTAAGGCAGAAGGCATTTTCATTCAGTTTATTTTCCTGTGTTTAGAAAAGCAAGTGTCAAAACTGGAAACCTGGAATAATAGTTACAAATTGCTTAGACATAAAATATTACTGTTTTTTGTCTTTAGGGTTTGATTTTTTCCACCTGCAGACTTCTCTAAGTCTCAGCTTTTGTTCTGCAGTAAGCATTATTCCCAGTTTTCAAGACTGCAGTGGGGTTTTTATTTGGTACTTTGTAATTTGGAGATCTTGGTAAGCAGTGTCAATTAGTAATTCCAGGAATACTCTTTTCAGATTCTATGCCTTGATATTAATTTGTCAACCTAGTTGTGTGATAATTTTTTTATAGGTGACTGAATACAATTTACTGTAGCTTCCTATTAAGTAGATTGAGACTGGTGTTTATTGTTCCAAACCTCTTTGTTAATGTCTTTTGATTTCTTTGTACTACTGCCTGTAATAATGTACCCAAAAAAGAATAACTGGTTATAATTATACAGACATTTTGGGGGACTGCTAATACATTTTCCCACATTGTAGTGGATCTGTAATTTTAAATACATTAATTCTCTTTCAGTTCTTTCTAAATAAGTTCTCCGTAAGTTCATTATCTTTTACCATAGCTTTCCACACTAATCCATATTCTTTAAATCCTTGATATGGTGAATCACTGTATAGGTGAATGGTCCATTTAATGCTCTCTGTAAGGATGTCGCTGTTTTGACAGCGATTATAATCGGGGGCAGAAGAACTGCATGCTCAGCACTGTCCAGAACTTTTTCCTTCAAACAAACCAATTCTATGTCCATATGTGTTCTGTTCCTGCCTTTTTCATTATCACAGGGTCCCCCACGTGACAGTCTCCAACTGCCCCAGCCCCATTTTGCAAATAGTATCCCTGTCTTAGTGGGGCTTCTGAAGGATGATTTTCTTGCACTATTGCACCAGCTGTAATGCTAGAGATCAGATTTATTCTCTGAAGATGCTGTTTCCTACTGTGAAAAATTCATTGGAAGGCGTTATGATTACCATAAACTCCTTTTACTCAGGATAAATTTAATTTGCATACTGTTTTATTGGGGTATCTACCCAGACAACCTAACGACAGCGAATGGCAAAGACATCTGCTTAATAAGGATAGAATTAACATAAATGCCACTTATCGAAAAAGCACTGAGGTAGTGCCAAGAGGTGCTTAATTAGAGGCTAATGTATGCAACACTTGCAGAAGTTGCCAAAAGAAAACTAAAACAAGAATAATTGTTGGATTTTTTTCTGATTAATGCAGGGTTCAATTCATGTCAAGCTTTTCTAACCATATGTGAGTTCTTGTTGGGACAATTACTGAATTGAGACATGGACTGTTGTGTGGAGCACCCTGCTTAACAGCATTTATTCCATTTTTTGTTAGACATAATTTGTTTAAATCTGCCCATATGCAAGGAACTTGCTATTGTGATTACTTCAGTTTTATATACTGGCTCTGAATTATTCTATTTTTGAATGGACTTCTCAGAAACAGGTGACACAAGAAGCTATTTGTATGTTCTGATCTCATACTGTAGGCAATGAAAAGAATAAAGCACTGAAGAGTCCAATTTCAAGGAATATACTGTGATTACTTATAGAAATGCCAATGATAAAGATTCCAAGTTCAGTGGCCTACTGAGTGAGTGTGCTTCTTTTAGATCGTGGATTTTCCACTTGCTATCCAGTCCTGCACTAATCTGAAAGTCAGTAAGCCAGAACACATGAAGTTTTAAATAGAGGAAAACTATTTACCAAGTTACTACTACCTTTTCTGCATACACTGAACTACCTTGGATAGGAAG